AAGCCGAGCACAATCTCTCTTGTACCGCCAATGGCCGTTAACTTTTAGGAAAGATAAACGAGTTAATGTTAGATCAATAACTGGATTTCATAACAAGGTGCCCCCATTTCCTACTAGCTCCTATCATACCCGAGAGAAGATAATATGGCCTAACATTTGCTATCAACATGAAAAGTATGGCTAGCTGGAATGCAAGACTTGTCCTGATCCCAATAAAATCCAACATGAAAAGTAAAAGAATTCAAAGCTAAGAAAAAACTAGATGTAATAGAACCCATGTGCTTCACACCAGAATATGTTTGATAAGTCTCAAGACTAAATCTATGGAAACATGGCATGCAAATAAAAGAACCCAATACAGGTACAGTAAATTGTTTCAGAAAACCTCTTAGTATTTCCTGGCACTTCATAAGGTGGAAATGCTTTACTGCATACTCTAGGACTGGCCTGATATAAACAGAGTTGTGTTCCGAATTATTCCTATTAACAATAGTCCGCGTGGCGAAGTGGCAAGAAACTTGTCCGGTGCTTCGCGAGCGCTTTGGCCTGGGTTCATATCTTGGTCGGGGAGGATTGACCGAGTGCCAATCCTTAACTGTAGTGGATGAGGAGTCGCAATAATGTGGCCGAATTATGTCTACCAAACCTAGAAGGTGAAGGGACGACGGCGTTTCGGTCCGTCCTGGACCATTCTCAAGTCGATTGCGAGATTCAACTCGAGAATGATCCAGGACGGACCAAAATGTCGTCGTCCCTTCACTTTCTAGTGTATGGTTTGGTCAACTTAACTGTAGCCACTTTCACCCAGCAGTGAATGGGTACCCAGATGTTAAACGATTGATGGGTCGTAATCCAGGGAAAACCAATTATTATTAAAGGACCTGCCAGAAACGCTATGCGTGCTAGTAGCTTTACAAGAACGTAAGAACTCTTGTATATATAAATAAAAAATGTATAAAATATTAGGTTTCCATTATTCCTATGCTCATAAAATTTTGCATATGCTGCCAATTATTTTTTGTTTGTGGTGCTAGTGCTGTCCTTATGTCTACAATGAAGTCCTTCTGTTATGTTGTGGTAGTTGGGTGTGGATTCCATGCTGGTCCTGAATATGATGACCAAACAATGTCAGAAGATGTAAAAATGATTTTTCGGTCGGTCTTGGACCATTATCAAGTTGTGCAAAAGAAGAGGAATGCATAGGCAAATGTATAAGGCGAGAACAAGAACAGGGTAGGAAAAAGCAATGAGGGCAAAGCTTAGGTCAGATCAAGTTTGTTAAGAAGATCGGAGCATTTAAGTATGTACTGTGAAAGGGAGAGTCAACATGGTCATGAATATTTTGGTATTTACTTCACATATTACAGTATATAGATTGACGTAAGAATAATTTCCAATTTAGATTTTTACATGCAGTTCTAAATTTGTTATCTTCCCAAATTAGATTTATACTGTCAAGCTTATATTCACCTCGAAAGTTATCATTAGAATTATGTCCAATAATACTGCCCGAAACGCTGCGCGTACTAGTGGCTTTACAAGAATGTAATTACTATGCTATGGTATCCTCACAACCCCCAATGTACCTTCTTGTATATATATAAATAAATAAATAAATAAATAATTATTACATTATATCCACTTAAGTTTTTATCTTTAAGATTCTCCCAGTTGCCTTTCCTTAATAGAATAGATTCCTTGTTTCCTATCTAACTTAACCATCATTATTAATTTACACTTGAAATACATGGTTATTTGACTGCCCACTCTTGAGTGGGGCAAAATATTCCTGTAATGCTCTGCCGTCCTGCATTTTATATGCCTCATCAGCTTTACATCACATGCAAACACAGAACTAGCCCACACTCTCACAGCAGGACAATTCACCTAAATTAATACCTTTGTGACCGTGCCATCAGTAAAGGCTTCTCGTGTAGCTGTTGGTGCCTGATGTTACACAAGTACAGTACTGTACTGAATACCATTTCTAATACAGCTCAAACATCAAAGTTTATGTTTGAGGTTTGATATTTTACTACTACGACTGCAGAAATAATACGCCTTTCTAGGTGTACCACTATTACAGCCTTAGTATCAAAATATCAAACCTCAAACATAAACTTTGATGTTTGAGCTGTATTAGAAACAGTATTCAGTACAGTACTATACACAAAAGCATTAATGAATATTTTGTCTTTGTGACCATCTTTTACCACTCATGAACATCAACAGCTACATGGAAAACATGCAATCTACCACCAGTGAAGCATGCCATTTTAAATGTACTGTATTAAGAACAGTACAGTAATATATTATTTTACCAAGCCTTGGGGGAAAATCTCGCCTACTTGACATATCCCTCAAGCTCGGTGAAACTTCTATGACCCTTCAATGGTGGTGGTCAGAATTGGGTAACAGCAATTGTGATCCTCTTGTCCGAGTCCTTCAAAACCAGATGGGGCTGAACAATAGAACAGGTCGTGGAAATTACTGAAGCCAAGATACAGACATGTGGCACGTCTGTATATGGATATACAGACAGCCACATGCTTTATGAACTTCCCAGTTTCACAAGCGGGGTTGGGGCTTTACACTTCCCCAAAAAAGTTCGGGAAGCGAGGAAGCGGTCCGCCAGGCCTCGCGCCAGCTCGGGGTGGTGGGTTTGGGAGATGGCTTAGTTTGCCCACTGACCGTGCCAGGTGTCTAGTGTCTTCTACCATGTAACGTCACAGAATCACAGCCCATTGTTCCCATTGTTTTGATTTGTCACGAGACTGGAGTATTCATTCTGTGACTTTTGTTTGATATATCTGCACAATCTAGGAACATTCATGCACCATGACGGCTCCAAATGCACGCTTTGTCAGTGAAAGCATCAACAAGCGGGATACGTAAAAGAATGAGGTCAGTGATGACATTTGAGAAAAATGTTGAAATAATTAAGAATGTGCCGAGTGAAATCCCGAGAAGTGTCGTGTGTGCTGAATATGGCATTACAAAAAGTACCGTTTTTGATCTTCCGATAGCCAAACCTATCCTTTTTTACTTTCTTTAGAAGTGAAAGTGATAAGGCAATACAAAAAAGAAAGGTAGTAAGTAATGCAAAAGTGGAGTGTTGATAATGCAGTGTGGGAGTGGTCCAAACAGAGGCATGAGGTGATGAAGTCAGTGGCAGGCTGGCTGCTCAAAGGAAAATGTAATATGGAATAAGTTTAGAAATATTTTGAAGTCATTTTGGCATTTATGAAAATGAGTAACAGTGAATTTGAAACTAAGGACATGATGAGTCTGTACATTTGTATATGAAGGCGATGAGTCACAACGTGGCCAAGTATGTTTACCAGACCACACACTAGAAAGTGGAGGGACAACGACATTTCGGTCCGTCCTGGATCATTCTAAAGTCGAAGATGGCACCCTCAACACTAGAGAATGGTTCAGGACGAACCAAAACGTCGTCGTCCCTTCACTTTCTAGTGTGTGGTCTGGTCAACATTTGTATATGAAGTTTTTGAAAATAAGATCAAAGGGAATGAAACCAATGTCAATTAAAGTCTTTTGCAATGGCTTCTGAGAAAGCTCACATTATTTTTATTTATTTTTATTTATTTATTTATGCATATACAAGAATGTACATAAGGAATGTGAGGATACAATTATGGTAATTACAGTCTTGTAAAGCCACTAGCACGCGCAGCGTTTCGGGCAGGTCCTTAATCTAAGAAAATTTTAAGGAGGTAAATACTTGCAAAATTTATAGACAAAAAAATGATAACAGATTACATGGAATGAAAAAAAAAAAAAAAAAAGATGAGAGAAAATTATAGGTACAGTATATTAAAGCACATAGGTAGCTATGATTGATTGCAATGACAGCTTAAAATGGTAGTTGACAACAAATTGGTAGGCACAATACAGCAGAAACAATATAAGATTGATTGCAATGACAGCTTGAATGGTAGTTGACAAAAATTGGTAGTCACAATACAGCATATGGCTAGCACATAAAAGAAGACAGCAATGAACACAATGATAAGGTTGTTTGATATTACATAAAAATTAGGAGATTGGGTACCACTAGGTACAGAGCAAATTTAAAGCTCAGTGTAGGAAACTAAATAGATGAAGTTAGGTACTTTTTGGTTTTGCTTTTAAATAAGGCAAAAGTTTTACAGTTTTATCTCACTTGCACCTTACTCATCACATGTTGAGCCAAATATGTCAACATCTGAGGTTACCTTATCACCATTAATCTCCACTTCAGTCAATCCAACACCAACATCCACCACCACCTCTTCCGTAAATAACTATGATCCATCAACAATGATAATCAAGATAAGTGGGGCAGGACTTCTCTTATTGGCGAGTACAAACAAAATTCTGTCACATTTTCCTTTTACAAACTTACAGGTAAACTAATGGGTCTCGGCCCCGAAGGCTTTGCAAAGCACTTGGTCATCTGTAGCAACATGCGCCCTCTCTAGTCTGCTGCTACTCTAGTTGATGACTTCAATGACTCATTTCCTGTGTTATTAGCAAACATGGAAAAATATGTTGCCAAACTTTGCAGATGCAAGTAACTCCAATTTGTAGAGTGACCAGGTAAATGGCAATGCTAATAAAAATCTATAAAGTACTTGGTCATTCCCTCACTTCCTGAGTGAGCCACCTCATTGGTGGCAATTATATGCTATTTGCCCAAACACTACAGTAGAGCGATTATTATTCTACACTCCCCACCCCTAATCTGTTGAACTGCAAGAGGTGGCCGAGTCTCCTTTCTTATATAAACCATATACTTGTATACCAGGACAAATTCTTAAAACGAACACTTGCCAATGAAGTTATTCTACTACCCTGACATACCACCAGAAGTTTTTCTGTACAAAATATCAAACAAAAAATACAAGAGCAACAAACCTTTCATTCTTATTTTGCGGCACATCGTAGCTTTAACTCCAGGAAGATGACCAAGCTCTGGCTCAAGATAGCATTCTTTGGGGTTAGCAGTGGAGTTATCAAATGGATCGCTGCAGAATGGGTCCAACATGCTGTTGCAGAACCAACACTTTATGCCTGCAAGAAACTTAGTTTTACTTTTATATACAGAACAGAAAAGAGTTGTATATTGCACAGGAGAAATTAGAGCTTTAACTTTCAACATGACAAAGCTAACCTATCAAACCCAACAACATGTCAGTTACATGTATGGGTTACATGGCTTAAACATCATTTCATGTGGACTTTATAAACCATGCCCATTTATTATACTGTACTGTATATGCAATCTCTCTTAATAGATTTAAAAAACAAAAAATTTAAGAGTATAAAATGTAAACAATCAAATTATGTTTTTATTTTGTCTTATGGACAAGACAAACGCACACATAAATACCCACGTCCAGTACTCGCGATAATGTGATCGACTTGCATATAACATTGTCAGTTACAATAATTCGGATCTGTAATTGGCAAACCAAAGTATGTAGCCAGTTTTAACAAATGTATCACCAAGGCAAATTTGAAGAATAGTTATTAAAAATTAGTTTTGTCAGGAACAGGAAGCCTGTGTATACTGCATACTCTATATATACTTTAGACTTTTATCAAAGTCTTCCTCTAAGGTTGAACTACTGATCCTCCTCAGGATGCAAACCTACAACAGTTGCCCAAGAGAAGTTGGGCAACTATTGGGCAAATATAAGTAGTCCCATTAGCCTCATTCCTTTGGGTATGGAGCGGGTTATGAGGGAGAGCATCCAGATGAACATCTTTATTAATAACAACTCCAGTTCTCAGAATATCAGGATTACAGAAAAGACACCCGATCATAATTCCACAGAAGACATTACCGTATGTGCATCGGCAGTTGGGAATAGAGGTGACATGGTCAGGTCAAGAAGGATAAGAGGATTGGATCCAGGGTAGCAGCCTCATTAGTAGTCGAGAGGCAAGTCTTGTCCTAAGCACATACTCAGACCTTGACAAAGCACTCAGGGGGGAGTGAAAGACTTGGTGTAAATGTTTACATAAATTTCACATACTAAACTACATAAGTGCGAGTTATCCTATTATTATTATATACTTTAGAGCTCTTGACAAATGCATTTTTGTTGAATCCTATTAATTTTCATAACTACAGTAATTAAGAGATCCATCACACTCCTAAATTAGCATGTAGCCCAAGCACCTTCACACATGTAATCATGGCTCGAGCCAATATTATTCCAGATAGTCTCGTCAAATGTTATGTATGCCAACTATCCTTCTAGGCCACGGCCCAGGGGCCACGACGCCGCCAAGAAATGAGACTGACAGCAGTATAGCATCGTGACAGGCACCACATAAGCTTACATGAGCACGGTGTGAGGTCACCACACCCTCAGGGCGTCAGGTCACCACACCCTCAGGGCGTCAGGTCACCACACACCCTCAGGGCGTCAGGTCACCACACCCTCAGGGCATCAGGTCTCCATGCACCAGGCAGGTGACGCCCCCGCCCGAACAAAGCTCTGAGCGCCTCATTAACCTGTCCCTCACCACGCCAGCACGTGAGGTGCCTTCCCCAACCTTACCTTTCCTGACCTGGGCGGTGGTGAGAGTAAGGAGTGAGAGGGAGAAGAGGAGGGACGTGTAGAGCAGCATGGTGGTGGTGGTGGTGGTGACGGTGTTGGTGCTGCTCTGGGCTCCCTCACACACGCACACACTCATTCACTCCGCCTCGCCTCAACACACTCACTCATACAATACCATAACTCATTTACTGAAACACAAAACTAATACTCTTTGCTCAAAATTATTATTAGAACATATATTTTGGGGGGTTTCATGGTGTATAGGTGCAGGTTTCAAGCATTTCAAAAGGTCACGTGACCACACCGACCACTCCTGGAAAAATGAATAAATCAAATCTTGTTATATATACTTATTTGTGCATTTAAATATTTACAGAATAACACTATAATGCTGTTAATTCCGTAATCAGAGAAATACAATCAGGAACTCTAAATATATGAAGGTGTTGTCGCCTTAATCAATGTTGTCTAAGGTGCGCATTACGTTTTCTGTGACTCTCACCGGCTTCGGACATGGCGCGTAGTATTGGTTCAAATATTTACAACAAATATATTGTATGAATAAATATTGAAAACTTACTGTTTAAGATTGTACATTGTATAGAGATTATACTAAAGAGAATACTACCATAGTGCATGATATGTCCGTATATCGTAGAGACAGATCTGAGTACACTATATAAAATGAGACGAATTAATTCGTAGATTGTGCAATCTTTCACAATTGCAATACAAGTATAGTGCAAGGAGCTCACTGGGCAAATATTACCTGGAGGCCACTTGATACATCACACACAAGTAATGACATCCCAAATGGATGACTATCTGTAGGCGATTGAAGTTTCTTTTCAGTCGGAACAAAAGGAATATGAGAAATATAATGACTAATATTAATTGTAACTGTTAAGTGTTAACAAAGAAGAAAGACATCGTGAATAGCAATTTGGTGTAGGTCTTCAATATGAAACATTTGGACTGCATATCCAGAGCACACCACTTGAAGCCATATATAGAAAATAATTATTGAACCAACTATATAGTTTATAAAGAAAGATAAATAGACTCTCGATATATGTTATTAAAAAATGAGTCAAACAAAACTTGTGGGAAGTGTTAAATTAGTAGACTGGTAAATGTCAGCATTTCAATTACTGTATCTCTGATGTAAATTAGTAGACTGGTAGATGTCAGCGTTACAATTACTGTATCTCTGATGTAAATTAGTAGACTGGTCGATGTCAGCGTTATAAGTACTGTATCTGATGTAAATTAGTAGATTGATAGATGTCAGCGTTATAAGTACTGTATCTCTGATGTAAATTAGTAGACTGGTAGATGTCAGCGTTACAAGTACTGTATCTCTGATGTAAATTAGTAGATTGGTAGATGTCAGCGTTATAAGTACTGTATATCTGATGTAAATTAATAGATTGGTAGATGTCAGCGTTATAAGTACTGTATCTCTGATGTAAATTAATAGATTGGTAGATGTCAGCGTTACAAGTACTGTATCTCTGATGTAAAAAATATCAATGTTATGTACTTTCACAACCCCAATGTACTTTAATTATTGTATATAAATAAATAAATATATAAGGGGATCAAGATCAACAGCCTCACACTAAAGCATTGTATCTTAGACTGCGAAAATGTATATAGGTTTACAGAGATCTAATCTTACATTACATGAAATGGTAAATCTACTGGTATTAAAAAAGTACTTGTAATTCTTGCACTGTATTCATATTTCGCTTCCATAGTAGTTAAAAGAAAGTTTATATGATGAAAGTATAAGTTGTGATGAGTATAAACCGCACCACTTCTATTGCGAACGGGGTGAGAATAGCTTGAGCTACCTCATCCCTTTGTGTGTATTTTACCTCAATAAACTTATTTCAATTTCAACTCTATTGCCCAATAAGTGTTGAAAAATATGATAAGTGTTGAGAAAATGGCGTATAACTACAATATTAGCACATGTAGCAATTACAGTGCTACATTCTGTTAACAGTTATCATTATAATTAAATATAAGGAGTTCATATAAATTATAAAATCCTGGATCAAACAACATCCGCTGAGGTCTCTTAGACTTTTTGTGACCTCAGTAATCCTTTTGTGGTACCGCTCACAGGATGAGTATTGGGTGCACAATAAACTGAGGCTCACAGGATGAGTATGGGGGTGCACAATAAACTGAGGCTCACAGGATGAGTATGGGGTGCACAATAAACTATATGGCTCACAGGATGAGTATTGGGTGCACAATAAACTACGGCTCACAGGATGAGTATTGGGTGCACAATAAACTGAGGCTCACAGGATGAGTATTGGGTGCACAATAAATTACGGCTCACAGGATGAGTATTGGGTGCACAATAAATTACGGCTCACAGGATGAGTATTGGGTGCACAATAAATTACGGCTCACAGGATGAGTATTGGGTTCACAATAAACTGAGGCTTATAGGATGAGTATGGGGTGCACAATAAACTGAGGCTCACAGGATGAGTATTGGGTGCACAATAAATTACGGCTCACAGGATGAGTATTGGGTTCACAATAAACTGAGGCTTACAGGATGAGTATTGGGTGCACAATAAACTGAGGCTCGCAGGATGAGTATTGGGTGCACAATAAACTGAGGGTCGCAGGATGAGTATTGGGTGCACAATAAACTGAGGCTCACAGGATGAGTATTGGGTGCATAATAAACTGAGGCTCGTAGGATGAGTATTGGGTGCACAATAAACTGAGGCTCGTAGGATGAGTATTGGGTGCACAATAAACTGAGGCTCACAGGACGAGTATTGGGTGCACAATAAACTGAGGCTCACAGGATGAGTACTGGGTGCATAATAGGCTACCACTCATAGGATGAGTATGGGGTGTATAATAAACTACCGCTCACATGATGAGTATTTGGTGCACAATAGACTACGGCTCACAGGATGAGTATGGGGTGCACAATAAATTACCGCTCACAGGATGAGTATGGGGTGGTATAGGGTGCACAATGAACTACCGTTAACAGGATGAGTATGGGGGTGCACAATAAATTACCGCTCACAGGATGAGTATGGGGTACACAATAAACTACCACTCACAGGATGAGTTTGGGGTGGACAATAAACTACCGCTCACAGGATGAGTATGGGGTGCACAATAAACTACAGCTCACAGGATGAGTATGGGGTGCACAATAAATTACCTCTCACAGGATGAGTATGTTCACGAGGAGAAAGCACTAAGAAAGTATGACTATATAGTGCTTGGAAGGAATATAAGGACATGGAGCTGGAATATAAGGAAGGAACAGTTCCCAACTATATGGAAGCCACAGTACAAAAAAGATAAAAAAATGATCATCCCAGAACTAAGTCGTCTCTCATGACGGTGTATCGACTGTGTACCTAAACTGGTTGATGATGATGATGATGATGATGATGATGATGATGATGATGATGATGATGATGATGATGATGATGATGATGATGACGATGATGGTGATGACGATAAGAAGAAGTAGGTTACCTACTCTTCACCATAACCAAAACATTTACTGTAATACCAGGAATAGTTTCAGTCTGGAGTTGCCAGACGTACAGTGAAGTAGACCTAATACTTTGTTAAGATGCAAAAAATTGAAAAGCTCTTATATTTTCAGATTTACTCAAATGTTTAAGAAAACCACACAAATAGCACAGCATAAATCGTTAAGATATATGACAAAGAGTCGCAGTATACGACGTGTTTCCCAGCTGGAGGCATGTCAGTATATCTTGGGGAGCGGCGGAGTGCAGCTGCTGGTATTGATCTCTCCGCTTGACACTCTTGTTGGTTGAGATCAGTCTCTCTCTCTCCCACTATGGCGGGAGCGATCATTGAAAACCTCAGTGGCCGCAAATTAGGAGTGTTGATTGTCTTCCTGATGATCTGCCAGGTGGTGTGCTTCCTGGTGGGCGCATTGATCGGTGAGTACCGCCAGTCAGGCCCTACAACAAAGGCCGCCACAGGAACCACCAATTTTGGATCGCCTGACCACACAATTTGGGGACTGTCATGGCCCTGTACCTGGTTAGATGATGCCGTGTGCCACCCATCTCGTGGTGTGGCTAGGTAAAGCGAGGGATCCACGTGTAGAACAGGCGACAGGTGAGGGGAGAGGGAGGTATGTCTCGCATCATGGCAGAGATGAGCTGGGATGCTGTGAGTGCTCTCCGAGATGTCTCGCAGCATCACTTAGACCAGCGCCTACAGGGTTATGCCAGCCTCATGTTTTTTTGTTGTACTCTTGTTCTACATCTTTTAATATATAATAGAGACATGAAGATTAACCCTTGACGGGTACGACGGGGCGCGTCCCGTCCCTCGATCAGCGTCGACCCCTGAATCAACAAAATCTTGTAATTTACCTGAGAGCCACTAATACAAGTGGCCTTGAACAATTTAATATATAAATTGCCTACTCTCAACAATAAATTGTAACACTACAGGTATTAAGAATCTTCATTGGGTTTCATATGAACAGGAGGGTTGGTGTGATAATTCGTTTCCCCGGTCTGCTGAAATCTCCCAAATTTATCCAGCAGTTATACGTAATATTCTTTTAAGTATAGTATTCTGATAATTACATTTTAGTATACTATATATTAGACTCGAGTATATAATAATGCTGTGATTATGGGAATATCGTTGCTTTGGTAGTCAAGTGTAATTTAATAATTATTTTCATTTTGTAAGTGATCATACTGTACATAGTAGGCCTATGATGGATAAATTTTAGTACCTGTACTGTACTGTAAGTACAACAAAGCTAAAAATCAATTGACATTTTGGGTTAAGCTTAACCCAAAATGTGGGTTAAGGGCGCCTGTCTGACAGCTGAGTGGACAGCGCTTCGGATTCGTAGTTCTGAAGTTCCGGGTTCGATCTCCGGTGGAGACAGAAACAAATAGGCAAAATGATTCTTTCATCCTGATGCCCCCTGTTACTTAGCAGTAAATAGATACCTGGGAGTTAGACAGCTGCTGGGGCTGCTTCCTGGGGGGGGGGGGTGTAACAAAAAGGTCTGGTCTAGGACTGGGCAGCGGGGACTCTAAGCCCCGAAAACAATTCAGGATAACCTCAAGATAAATGTTTGGTTATAATTGGTTATAAATAATGCAGTTTAGGGTAACTTACAGGGTACTAAGATTAATGGGGGGGGGACTTTTGACAAGCTGCTGTCTTCTTATCCCCATTGAAGGAATGGGAAAATAGTCATTGGATAATTAAGGTAAATACCTTTTAAGCTAATATTAAAGAATATTTATGCTAGGTTAATATTTAGTGCAGTGTTCCCTAGATTTTTTCTTGAGTAAGAACTGATAAAAAACAATGCACGCTAGTAGCTTTGCAATAATGTAACATGCATGCCAAAATTCTAACAAATCTCATTGTGTATTTTTTTAAATCCTTAAATAAGTAGAAAAAATAAACTTACCTGCTTGCAAAAATTAACAATAAACATTATTAAAGTACCGTAGCTCATTAGTAGTACAGTATTTACTATAGAAGTGGCACCCGTGTACAATGCCTAAGGTTTTGTGATAACTTTGGTGCATACTGTAATGTACTTATTTGCTTTTAATATTATGTTTTATACAGTGAATACTTAGTCATATGGATAAAAGCACTACGCTACACACAGAAATCACAATAACGTGATGCATCAATGAACAAATCCACAAGGGCCGTGACGAGGATTCGAACCTCCGTCCGAGATAATCCCAGATGCTGCCTTAATCGACTGAGCTACAACATGGTCAAGAGTTGAAACCAGAAGTTGTACCTAACTTACTTGGATCCTGTATCCTCTCCGAGACACAAACCAGGATTTTACACAATTTTCCCATTTTTTTTTCCCATCACAATTTTCCCAATTTTCCCAATAAGTAAGTTCTACCTCTTCGCCCTTAGGGTGAAGAGGTAGAACGGCCTATTGACATAGCTTGAGTGCATGGGGGGAGTTGTGTAAAACCCTGGTTTGTGTCTCGGAGAGGTTGCAAGATCCAAGTAAGTTAGGTACCGTACAACTTCTGGTTTCAACTCTTTTTGACCATGTCGTTGCTCAGTCGATTAAGGCAGTGTCTGGGATTATCTCGGACGTAGGTTCGAATCCTGGTCATGGCCCTTGTGGATTTATTCATAAAAGCACTATACAGTATTAAGTTCTCATGCAAATTTTATATTTTTTGCCAGATTTGTATCTCAATCTTACTAATATAAGAAAAAACTTATGGGAAAGGAAAAGAAATTTAAAAGGATGGTAGGTAGGAGACAAACTATTAATTTTGCCTCTGCATGTCAAGAAACCTTTAGATATCAATAAACTTTTATTGCCAGTGTATAGAAAATAGGGACAAGTCAGTAAATAGTAGGGAGGGTTTTATCCTATTTGACATAATGTGATAATACACAAACTTACATTAAAGCTGAATGCTATTTTAAAACCATTCTACATTTCAAAATACTGTACACCAATTTTAAACTCGCAATTTGGTTTCCCTCAGTTGGGAACAGGAAGCCTGTTTGGTTTGTTGAGGTCCTCTTGAGCCAACTGCTGACCTTCCTGGTGGTACAGTCAAGTTTATTCTTGACTTGCAATCAGTAATGCCACTTTTGAATACATGGATGGTGAAATACTAAAGAAATTGTTCACGACCATTGTTAGACCAAAGCTGGAATATGCAGCGGTTGTATGGCAAACCACTCTTCAACTGTAACCTGACTATCCTGACAACTGCACCATCATTTTATAAGTTGTTAAAGTACACAAAGCTAAAAAAAACTGAAACTAGCAGAAAAATTTAAATTCAAGAAAAAATGTTCTCTGATGTGGAACAGTTTTGCCAATTTTTGAAGTAATTTTTCCAGACATGGGGCTTGGGGGAACTTGGAAAAATAAAACATTGTATTGGTACTATAAACATAATGTTGGGCACAGTACCTTGCATCGTGCAAATAATTTTCCATGTGTAACTATCTAAGTTTAATTACCTAAGTGTAGTTACAGGATGAGAGCTACGCTTGTGGTGTCCCGTCTTCCCAGCACTTTGTCATATGACGCTTTGAAACTACTGCCGGTTTTGGCCCTCCATCTTCTCGCCTAACTTGTTCCAACCGTCTACCACTCTGTTGGTAGACGGTTGCGAAAGTGAATTTTCTTATTTTTTCGGCAGCTTTGTTTAGTTAGTTTAAATCTATGACCTCTCTTTTCTTGAAGTTCCAAGTGTCAGGAATTCTTCCCTATCAATTTTATTGATTCCTGTTGCTATTTTATATGTAGTGGTCATATCATGATCATATATATGTAGTTTTCTTCTATCTTCTAGTTTTGGCATATTTAATGCCTCTCATCTCTTCTCATAGCTCTTGTCCTTATGTTCTGGGAGCCATTTAGTCATTGCACCTTTTCCAGTTTGTTGATGTGCTTAAGATATGGGCACCATACAACTGCTGCATATTGCAGCTTTGGTTTAACAATGGTCGTGAACAATTTCTTTAGTATTTCACTATCCATGTATTTAAAAGCAATTCTGAAATTGGAAAGTGTAGCACAGGCTTTTCACACGATGTCCTTTATTGTCCTCGGGTGATAATTTTCTTTCTAGAACCACCCCTAGATCTCTATCAGAATTGTTTAAAGATTTTTCACATAATTTATAGGTTGTGTATGTTCTATTCTACATTCCATAACATGGCATTTATTCACATTAATTAAATTCCATTTACCACATGGTGCTCAATACACTTGTTTTGTCTAGGTCTTCTTGAAGGGTGGGACAGTTGTCTTAAGTTTCTTATCCTTCCTAGTGTCTTAACATTATCAGCAAATATGTTCATATACAGTAATTCTGTATTCCATCTGGGAGGTCGTTTATGTAGACAGTGAACATGTCGTACTCCATGCATGACATTTCTCCAGTTCAATACATTGCCTCTGATTACTGCCCTCATTTTTCTGTCGGAAAATTTTTCATCCATGTTAGATGTTTCCCTGTCATTCCTCTAGAAAGTTCCAGTTTCCAGAACAACCTGTATATGGAACTCTGTCAAAAACCTATTTTAGGTTCAAATAGATGCAATCAACCCAACCATCTGTTTCCTGTAAAGTCTTTGTGGCTCTATCATAGAAACTGAGTAAATTCATTGCTCAGGATCTTCCAGATCAAAAACCATACTGACTGTCTGTTATTATAATACAGTATAATTTTTGTCCAGGTGTTCTACCCATTTAGTTTAAATTATTTTTTAAAATATTTTAACTACTACACTTGACAGTGATACAGGTCTATAATTGAGGGGGGTGGGGGGTCTTCCCTGCTGCCATTTTTGAAGATTGGAACTGTGTTAGCCTCTTTCCATATATCTGCTAGGACTTTTGTACACAGGGATGCCTGAAAAATAAGTTGAAGTGGAATGCTGAGCTCAGGTGCACATTCTCTCAGAACCCATGGTGAGACTCCATGTGGACCAACTGCTTTGTTCTTCTTTGGCTCCTTGAGGATTTTTTCCACTTTGTCTCCAGACACCTCTGTGTACATACTCTGCGGTTCTCTGGAATTCTTATTGTGTCTAGTTCTCTGAAGATTTCATTTTGCACAAGCACACTTTGGAACTGTTCATTTAATGTTTCACACATTTCCTTTTAATTTTCTGTGAATCTGTTTCTCATTTTCAACCTTGGAATATTATCCTTTACCTGCAATTTGCTTTTGATGAATTTATAGAATAGGACTGATTCTGTTTTACGTTTGTCCCGCTATACGTTTCTTAAGTTTTTTCTGCCTCTCTCCTCACTGCCGTACACACAATCAGTGTGAGTGCATATTGCTGACTCTTCAGTTAGACCATCTCTTGCCAAACCCTTTCCTTGTGACAGATGTCTTCCTGCTTACTGTAGCCATTCTATGTGTTCGACTTTATCAGG